AACAAAAAATGTCTTCAGTTTGTCACGGCTAGTCATTATTTTGAGATCACTGTTATACATGTAAAATAACGGGATGTTTTGAAACGCATATCAAATGAAACTGCTTTGCAAGATCTCTCGTTTTGTTACAATTTGGTCCAAAGACTAGGATTAATTAGTTATTATTATTAGTGGTGTACATGCATCCATTTCATGTGCACTAAATTGTCAGAACATTGAGATAATTCTGCGTACAATTTTAGGACACTTGTACATATTTTCCTGTATTATTCAAATAATTGTTATGTTCTCAACACATATTTTACATCATCGTGATCTCTCTTACCATACTTTTCTATTTTAGTAAAATATTTTTTTAATGTGATTGTGTTCATTCATATATATATATATGATACTGGCTTATGACAAGTGGCCATATAAGAACCACTGTATCTATGTTTATATTGTGTATAATGTGGTCACTATATGTACTGGTAAGTCAGGTACCATCATATAAAAGGACATAAATTACCAATATGACCCATAATTCATTCTGTTCATTTGACCTTGATGAGTTTTGGCACTGATGCATTTATATTGATTTTTTGATAGAATAATTAATTCAAAAAATTACAATTTAAATGTCAATTTTCATTATTTTCTACAGTATAGTTTGAAGTAGGAGACAAGTGTTTAAATGATTTAACAATTGACAGTCAATTGCTTAGAATAGGTGAACATAATTTCCCTACTTTCCTACAAAATAAGTGAAAGAAATAACAGCATGAATGATTGATTTTGCCTGCTGTCAGCTAAAAAGAAATGTTCAATTGAAGAAGGGGGACAAAGCGTAATTTTTAGACCGAGATCATTTGTAGTGATAACTGTTACCTAGGGTATTCATTTCAAGTCACGATAGTGAATTTAACAATAGACAACTGACAGCTTTTAATTACAAAAAATATCTTGAATTGATAACAAATGCAGGATTACATGATGAGATGTGGTTGCCATTTTGACCATTCATGAAATATTGTATAATATTTGGACGGGACGCCAGTTAATGTGAAATACCCAGCTGTTTATGAAATATACAAATACATGGAGTTTTCACTCTAGAATCCGTGGAATCACATGTTCATGTTGTTTACACCTTTAATCTGTCTTGTTTCTCCATCAAATCTTAGTTTTAGCCTTTTCACCACCAGTTCTCTGTTTTCATCATGAATCCACAAAATAGTTCTGTTTATAGTCTGCACTTCCCTTCCGAAGTTTGAGACAAAAATAGCCAATTTTTTGAGTAAAAACTGAAAATTGGCTCACATTTTGTCTGTTAGCTCCAAAATTAGGGTTCATTTCCAGAAATATTGATGAATATGAAAAGAAAGTGCAGAAAAATTTTGGCAAAAAATTCTGGTGGTGAAAAGGTTAAAGTAAATTTGCAGTGAGATTAGAGATGTTCTTTTGATGTAGATATTCGGAGATATTTGCTTTGTTTCTTATTGCTTCTGTTGTACTTTCTGGCAGGATGAAGATCAAGATCCTCTTCTTGGGAGTTTTTCTCAACTGAAAGACGTAATAAACAACATATCAGGTGAGTTGTTATCGTAATACTTTTAAAGATTTGTTGTCAACATGTCTGAAGTGTTCACATGATATATTATGTAAAAAATATCGAAAAGGACTGGCTACTATCAAAGGTATTTTGTGCTTACTGTATGTGCTCTATAAGAAGCACATCTCTACTGAATAGATCCTCACATAAACCAAAGACACATAAGGCCGAGAAAAAAAAACATCTCTGTTTCTCGTTTCCGAGCGTATCATTTTGAACTATGATGAGCCTCAGACGTTTTTTTCCTTCTAAAGCATTCTAAAATGCACTTGTACTCGCACTTGTCTCTAATTCCCCCCATTTTAGCTCAGTATTAAAAAAAAAAAAATCGCATTTTTAAATTTCCATAAAACGAGAAACGGAATTTTTTTTTTCCTGGCCTAAACGAAAATACATTTATTGTTTACTGGTTCATTACAGCTTTCACATGTATTTTCAACATTGGTACATTTCTGTCGTTTGAGCGAATTCGATCTTCACTTTTTCAAAATTTGGGCATGTCTTCTTGAACAGTTTTCTCATCTTAGCCTCATTGTAGATTAGATCGGTAACTTCTATTTTTTTCACAATTGACAGTTTTGGATACCTTGCTATCAGTTAAATATGCATTTTTTTGCGCCACTATACATGTATCTTATCCCTTTTCTAAGAACTTGATTGGTTCATGTTGCCCCAAGTTCTAAGTTGAACACCCAAAAAGGAACAACCCCTACTTCGGGTGAGTGTGCTCATAAACTAAATATGGAGGCTAAATCGAATGATCAAGATTCATTCACTAATGAATACGACTTTATGGGAATTCTGGTGGAGGTCTGTAGGTGCTCATGTTTACGAGGGACACCAGAATAGCATATTAAATTTATATTTGATAGGAAGATGGTCACACATCTCTGTCGCCGGATGGTTTATGTGGTAGAGTGCACCGTATGTACATTTACCATTCCTGAGTTCCACCCATGGAATATGGTTTCTAAACATATTTGCTATATTAGAAGCGCACAATATAGATTTTTACTAGGTCAAAATGTGTGATATTTTAATAATTTAGTATACAGTATGCGATATTTATTTCATATGCGCTTGTATTTGAGATACACTTTTAATACAGTATATACAGTATGAAAAAATGAAGCATATGCACTTGTAGAAAAAAAAGAAAGCCAGGAATAACATTGAATGCCTGGAATAGTCACACATTTAAATAAAAAATCTGATTGTGTTTTTGACAAATTCTGTTTTAGATGTCTCATACATGTATTGAGCAATTCTCTTCAAACTTTATACATTACATCATGCCATACATACACACACACACAATAATTTTGTCAGATTAAAGATGGCCGACTGCACTTAGCACTTAAAAAAAAAGTCAGGAGAGACAACAGTGACATTCAATGTTCAGAACTGTCACCTGGCACAAAAACATTTTAAAAAAAAAAAAAAAAAAAAAGATGGCCGACTGCTGAGAATTTTAGTTCAGGTATATTAACATGTTCAGAACCAAACCTTGGGCATATGTGTTCAAACTTAATGGAAGAAGTAACCAATACTGGAGGTTAATGTGTGTCACTCTCATTTGTAAATTCAACTTACGATGGCTGACTTGATCCATCTATCAGGTCCCTCATTGACAAGTATTTCAACATCTGATACTTTTTGCATATCTGCAATTCTTGAAGCTATAAAATAGCAATTTAAAAAATGCTCACCATGCGCAGGACTAGGTGCTAAATTCCTGAAAGCGAGACGGTTGTCACTTGCGCACGCGTGCGGGAATTGACTCCCAAGCGAAGATAACCCACGCTAAGGTCCAAAGGCTCATGGGTAGACATTTGTTTGTAAACAGTGACACACTATGGCCATCTGACGCATGCGCAGGTGATGACTCCCCTGCTTTAAATGTGTATTTTTTTGAGATTGAACATAAATAAAGTATGTGATTTGGTCATTTAAATAAGAACCTTTTTACTAA